AGCAGTAACATTCCACAGCATGAATATACCTAGCACCCATCTTGGTTTCTAAACATCATTTTCCAATAAAAGGAGTCAGAGCTCCTTAGAGAAATGGCTGATTCTGGGCCTGCGGCAGGGAAATAACAAAATGAGCCTAGAGCATCTTGTGTCAAAAGTACGTGCTTAAAAACAATGGAGGTATCGTTGAAAGGATGCAACAGCCAAGTTGAGGGAACTTACAATGCCCAAATCTGGGACATCTGAACAAAATAAATATGAATAGTAATGAATAATAACCTACAGAATAAATTAAATATCCATGGGCCCATAGCGATAAAAACAACTGAATAATAAATGGGAGAAGAGGCCGCTCTTCCTTACAGTAGAATTCCAATTAAATGTACAAGGAACAGTAGAAACAGAAGATCACCATAGGCACATGCTACAGTAATATGGTTGCTGCTAAAATTAGCATGTGAGGGTGTGACATAAAAGAAGATATTTGCAGAGACTCCTACTATTTCCCTCCCAATAAGATAATGAGTAATTACAAAGGGAAAAATAGTTAAGTTTATAGTGGAGAAACATCAGAGATCCTACCTTAACCAAGCAACCCGAAATGTACCTCCTGATAGTGACGAACTGAGAGGAGCACATTTTCACTTAAGTGGAATTTTTCCAAAAGTGAGTAACCTCAATCTAATCTAATGGGAAAACATACAAACCCAAATTGAGGGAAGTTCTACAAACTAACCAGCTAGTTGTGTTCAAAAGTATTAAACTCATAAAAAAACAGACTGATGAATTGTCATAGATTGGAAGAGACTAAAGAGATATGACAACTAAATAGTGTTGGATCCTGAATTTGATTGTAGACCAGAAAAAGGACATCGATGTGGCAGCAGTGAAATTCAAATAGCATCTGTAGCCTAGTTAACAATGTTTATTTTGTTAAATGTACTGATTAATTAAGATATTAACATGAGGGAAAGATGGGTGAAGCATATAAGGGAATTCTCTGCATTAGTTTCACAATTTTTCTGTAAGTTGAAAATTATTTCCAAACAAAAAATTTAAAAAGAAGATTCTTGTTGAAGATACTACTGAAGCAAGATTTTATTTAATTTAACCTACTCTGAAGTTAACTCTACAGTGGTAGTTCTGTGGTATTATCTACAAACAGGAAAAGGTTTTCCTTTTAATTTAGTTAACAAAACCTCCCATTAAAAAATATAAGTCATTGAATCTGATGAGTCACCATGTCATAGGAAAAATTCTACTTCTATATATGATAAAGGAGCCATGGACATACAATGGGGAAATGACAGTCTCTTCAACAAATGGTGCTGGCAAAACTGGACAGCCACATGTAAGAGAATGAAACGGGATCACTGTCTAACCCCATAAAAAAAGTAAATTCAAAATGGATCAAAGATCTGAATGTAAGTCATGAAACTATAAAACTCTTAGAAAAAAACATAGGCAAAAATCTCTTGGAAATAAACATAAGCGACTTCTTCATGAACGTATCTCCCTAGTCCCTCCCAATCTATGCCAGCTCATCAGTCTGTTTTTTTTTATGACTTTAATACTTTTGAACACAACTAGCTGGTTAATTTGTAGAACTTCCCTCAATTTGGGTTTGTATGTTTTCCCATTAGATTAGATTGAGTTTACTCATTTTTGGAAAAATTCCACTAAAGTGAAAATGTGCTGTTCTCAGTTTTGAGTGCCCTGAAGGGCTCTGTTCAGTAACTCTAGCCTTGGGCAATTTATAGAACTTCTCTGAACTTACTTTTCTTCATGTAATTGTAGGTTAATGATAACAAAATAAAAACAAAACAAAACAATGGAGGTATGGTTTAAAGGATGCAACAGCCAAGTTGAGGGAACTTATAATGCCTCTTCTCCCATTTATTATTCAGTTGTTTGTTTATATCGCTATGGCCCCATGGATATTTAATTTATTCTGTAGGTTATTATTCATTACTATTTGTATTTATATTGTTCAGATGTCCCAGATTTGGGCATTCAGACAGCATCTGTAGCCTAGTTAACAGTACTGTATCAATGTTTATTTTCTGTTAAATGTACTGATTAATTAGTTAAGATATTAACATGAGGGAAAGATGAGCGAAGCATATAAGGGAATTCTCTGCATTAGTTTCACAATTTTTCTGTAAGTTGAAAATTATTTCAAAACAAAAAATTTAAAAAGAAGATTCTTGTTGAAGATAGTACTGAAGCAAGATTTTATTTAATTTAACCTACTCTGAAGTTAACTCTACAGCAGTAGTTCTATGGTATTATCTACAAATGGGAAAAGTTTTTCCTTTTAGTTTAGTCAACAAAACCTCCCATTAAAAAATATATATCATTGAATCTGATGAGTCACCATGTCATAGGAAAAAAAATTTCTACTTCTGTATGTATTTGAAAATTTTCATAATAAATATTTTAAAATGTTACAGATAAGCCTTTTATGTGCTTATCAATACACTAGAGATTATTTTCTATCATTCCTTTAACTTTCATAAATATTTAGAATTCTAACATGAAATGTTTAGTGCTGGTAGAACCTTAGAAATCGTTGTATAGGAAGGAAACTAAAGCCCAGAGAGGCAAGGTCTAGTTAGAGTCAGCAGAAGCTAGAATCCTATCTCCTGACACTTGGTGCAGGTATTTCTCCAACATTATAAATTTGAGCTCTTTCTTCATTTATTCTAAACATGAATGATAATAACCTAAATACTTGAAATGCAATAGTAATACTATGTATAATTGTTTCCAATTTTTAAAAGCAAGTAAATTTGAACTAATTTGCCAGATTTATGGGAGTAAAATATGGGTCCAAAGTGGCATTAAAGATAAAATTAACCATTTTAGTATACTGTTTCAAATGAAATCTATTTTCACGTTACCATCCTTGTTTAGTGATTTGATTTTTTTCTTAAATGAAGTATTTCTCTGTATTTTCTCACAACTCTTTTTTAAAGTACTTGAGCTCAGTAAAAGGCATCTTTCAAACATTATCCATGCAAAAGTGTTTTCTGAACACCAATGTATGTTAAAGTACTGTAGGTGATGCTGGAAACAAAAAGATGAAGAAAGATTATGGTCCTCAAACACTCACTTTATACTGGGGAAATGGGCAAATACTGATTACAATATAAACTGACAAGTAGTGTACACAGTGGTATATATACAATGTGCTGTGGGAGGAAGGAAGAGCGAGCAGTTATCCAGTCCTCAGTAGCATCCTTACTCCCAACTTAGCAAATGAAAAAATGGAATAGCTTCAGGTCACTCAATAAATAACAAAGCAGAATTTGAGCCAGAGAGAGGGAAAACAGAATGAACATTATTATCCAATTTTGAACTAATATGATTAACTGTTTATTTTTCTTGATGACAGCCAGTGAGTTAGGTTTGAGTACCCAGAAGGGCTCTGTTCAGTAACTCTAACCTTGGGCAATTTATAGAACTTCTCTGAACTCACTTTTATCACCTGGGGATAATAAATTTTACTTCATAAGATTATTGTGAGAAATAAATGAATAAATATTTAGTAAGGCAATTAATATAGTTGTTGGTACACCAAGGAGTCCATAGACTAAGAATTATGAACAGGATCACCTTTATTCATTTTTGTGTTTGTAAAGGCTGACGCATGTTGAATGAGTATTTACAAAATGAAGTCATTAAATGTATGTTGAATTTCAACTTATTCTTGAGATACATACATTTATTTTTATTAAAAGATTTTAACAAAGAAATTTCCATTTCATCCACATAAATGGAACCCAACTTCTAAGGATTAGTTCCTCCTTTACAACAGTACTTACTTTCTACTGTTGCTCCTTCATTTGGGTTTGAATATCCTTCTCCTTTCTGTTTGATTCTTCGGATAATGCCTCCATCTTCAAATAAATCCTCTCCTTTGAACTCAAGGAGCTCAACCTAGAAAGGAAAATGGATTTGGCTGAGAAAAGACCAAACAAAGCCAATTTAACATAGTTAAAAGGCAAAGGCAACCAATTCTCCTTTCATTTTACAAAATAAAACTGTTTTATATGTATGCATCTTAGTTATTAGAAAAGTAGGAAAAAAAACATGCACTTTTCAATACTTGGAAAGAAACATCATGTAATGATAATGTCTAGGACTATATTCTGTGTGGCTGCAGTGCAAAGATAGACAGGAAATACTAGGAAAACTGCCTTTTGGGCAAAAAGCCAGAACTACAAAGTGCTGGTCCAGAACTATTTTATCTGACTCTAGGGGCCACCACTTTTCCACCCCAGATGCATGGAATTCTCTTAAAATGCAAGAACAAATCCTATCAACTAGGACAATAATCAACCAAAGGTATATTCTACCTACATTTGATATTTCAGGCATTTCCCTCCTTAATTTTTAAATCAGATTTGGCCAAATACATGTACTTAATTCAACACACAACGAATAACATATTATCACCACCTACTGCTTGTGACATTTGCAAACCTTTATAGTTACAACTTGGTTTAGGTATATTTCAAGTTTATCTCCCACACTGCCATCTTGTCTTCTGTCACTTTGGGGTATGTCACATTCATACCACCACTGACCAGAACTTTTATTTCTAAGCCTAATGTCTTTTGTTTATTTGGATATGACCTTTTTGTGCCAGAAACATGTTTCTAAGAAAGCATTGCCATACACCCCTTGGGTTTGTGGGAAACAATTCAAGAAGCCAGGCTCCAAAATAAATAAGTTGGATCCAATTGTGAATAGCAAGCTTAGCTCCTTGTTCCACTGCCTGTTGCTTCAGAGCCAGTGCTATAGCAGAGCAAATGCTAACTAGGCAACATCACACACATACTTGCCTCAAAAAAGAGAGTTGCATTCGAGGGAATTTTGGGGAGACTGCCAGCTGAGCCATAGGCATATTCTGGTTTGCACAGTAAATGGCAGATCTCTCCTTTCTTCATGGTAGCCACCCCAATATCCCAGGCCTTGATAACTTGACCTACGAAAAAGGAAAAGGTGGTTGAAAGCCATAGGCCATATTAAAAAGATTTATCATAAAACAAATGTTCAAACAAATTTCCAGTTTTTTAAATTACATACTCAGGAAGCAGAAGCTAAAAAAGGAGTCAGTAAAAGCTACATACTAAGAAATAAATTGTAATTATTTTTTGAGGGCTAAGAGAGAAGATTCCCTCCTAAGGAAGATGAAAAATAAATGCATTACTCAACTGCTCAAAGATTAAGTCGTTGAAAAGTGGCAATAATATAATCTTTGAAATGTGGCTGGGTTACAGTTGTTGCTTAATTTATAATTTTGACATAATAACAAGTATATGTTTCTAGGCAGAGATGGAACAAAAATAGTATAGAAAGTGGAATTTCTCCTAAGGAAGTTTATTATTTATTTGGGTAGACAAAAAAAACAAATATGAAATGACTGGAAAAGAATATATTACATAAAAGGGCTGATGAAATAGATGATTTCTTTTCAAAATAGAGAGCAAGAAAAAAAGGCTTTTTTTTGACAAAATGGTATGTGTTCCGTAGAATCACAAGAACTATGGAACTCAGGATTTTTTTTTTTTGCCTACTTCCAGGAAACTAAAAGTTTACTTTACTGCTCAACTGCAGACTATATATACTATACATTAACTTTTATAATTGTAATTTTACCTTAAAATAAGCAGTCTCGAGTCCTTTTGGAAACAATAGAAAACGTAGGTAATTTAAAAGGGTAAAATACAAAATTGGGGTGCTATGTCAACCAAAAACTTAAGTGTTCAAAGTGGTATAAGGTAAACAATGAATCCTGAAGGAAATAAATTTTGAAAACTGTTACCTTGAAATGAGAGCTGGCAGTAGGATATTAGAATAAGGGGAGCCTTACACTAAGGTATGTAAGTAGGGATGGATAAAAGCATGGGTGACTCGTGACTTCAGCTTAGTCTTTATTAAGTATTACAACTTTCCAAAATATCAGATTCACTTGTTTTAGTTATCTATTTACACATGCCTATTATTAAAACACACACAAGAAAGGTATAAAGTGAATGGTAAAAGGTCATTCATTCCCTCCTCCTAAGAATGTTCACTGTTCTGCTTTTCTTTTGTACCCTTCCAGTGTGTGCTGTTGCTTTTTAAAAACTTAAAACACAAATGACAGCATACTATGCATTCAGCTCTGAACTGCTTTTTTCATTTTAATAGAAAGGATATGCGTTTTAGATGTTAGAAGTGCAACCTGTTTTAACCTCAGACTGCCAGATTTCAAATGCCAGGTTTCTGCCCCTTACTAGTTGTGTTACCTTGTGCAAAGTTATTTAAGCTCTATGTATCTGTTTCCTCATCTGCATATGTAGATAATAATAGTACCTGGAATACAGTTGTTTTAAGAATTATTAAATGTGTTAAATACATGGCACAGTGCGTGGATTGTAATATGTATTTAGTAAAGGAGAGCCATCATTATCATCATCATTGTAAGTACAAATGGATCTACCTCATATTCAATGGCTACATAATATTTCAGTCACTCTCCAATTGAGAAACACATTATCAACAGTACTTTTTTTTTTTTCCACAAGTCGGCTGACATCTTTATTGCCTTGGGGGTGTGCTCAGGATCTCTTGGTGGGGCAGGCCCGCTTCCTCTTCACCATCACAGGCTTCTGGCTGCACAGGGTGGCGCTGGCTCTGCAGATGGCAGCCATGCGCAGGTCCGGGCCGTACTTGTTCTTACAGATCATGTGCTGGATACTGCTAAGGGTGGGCTGGGCATTCTTGTTGATGGTAGTCCGCACGTAGGAGTTGGCTGGCTTTCGCTGGCCGGATGTCCACTTCATGACCACCACCACACCCTTGCTGCCTGCTGTCTGCTCCACGCCCACAGTCTTGCTGTGAATCAGCCCGTTTTAGTGGAAGGAGTTGGGGGCCTTTCAGATTGTTAGGTTCGGTGCTGTACATCTGCTTGTTCCTCTTGATCAGGAAGCTGGGGCAGTTCCGCATGACAACAGTACTCTAATAAGGTTATTTATCCGTATGTTTGCCTACTTTGTACAAGTATATTTGGGGCAAATTCCCAGAAGTGCAAAGTGATGTACATTTTCAATTGGATAGACATTGCCCAGCTGCCCTTCCAAAATGGCTGTATCAATGTACATGCCCAAACATGCTTCTATTGTGAAAACAATTGTCAGAAGAATCATTAGAAGAAATATAAAGTCTGCTATCAATATGCTGCTTTCCGGCCACTGATGCTTTTCAAAGACTGCTACGGTTTAGTGTGAGCCACTGAGAACATTTTGTTTTTATAATTAAGTCTGTTATTTTAAGACAAATACATACTCCTTCAGGTAATCTATATTCTGGGGGTACTACTTTACATTTGTTCAAGACATTTAGCCAATTGCTGAGGAGCAAAGGTCTGTCTAGGTACTAAGAAACACAGGTGGCCATTCCCTTCAATCCAAGGTACATGTAATATAGTAAGACTAGTGGAGAAGAAAGATATATGCTCTTTTTTTGTTTAAACAAAGCATGATAAACACTAAAAAGAGTATAAACAAGGAGCATTTGCCTTCGGGTAGGGGATGGAGCAATCAGCCCAAGTTTAATTCACAGATGATATCTTTGCTAGGCCTTAGAAGTTGTAGATAGCCTATCAATTACATACACAGGCGCCCCACCCATGCTAAATAAATCTTGTCCAAGCCTTTACTTTTCTTCTCATTGGGGAACATTAAAACTCTGACACCAAGCTTTACATATTGAATGAAATGCACTGAGCAAGAGGCCAGACTGATGTGAACACAGGTATGTTCCCAAAATTGCTGATCTTGAGACTCTTCTCTAAAAAAACATTTCCCCCAATTAAAAAATAATACATACTTGATTATAAAACACTTGGAAAGTACAGAAGAACATAGAGAGTACAATAAAAAACCTCAAAAACCCCAGCATCTGGGGTAAACTGTCAATTTCTTGGTTCATTTCCTTTCAATTATACATGTACTCTTTTATTAAATTTCTACATATACACTCTTAAAACTGGTTATATTTTACTTGGTTTTGTAGTCTGCTCTATTTCACAGTATATAAACATTTTTCTTTTTCTTTTCTTTTTTTTTATTTTGGTATCATTAATCTACAAGTACATGAAGAACATTATGTTTACTAGGCACTCCCCTTCACCAAGTCACCCCCACATACCCCTTCACAGTCACTGTCCATCTGCATAGTAAGATGATGAGCATTTTTCTTGTTAAAAGACAGTAACTGAAAACATGACTTCTAAAAACTATATACTATTTCATATTTTGAATATGCCATAATTTCTTTAGTCCCATTAATAAACATTTGGTTGTTTCTTCCCCCATCACCCCCTCTTTTTTTTTGCTATTATAAAGTTTAAATGAACAACTTTGCACCTAAATCCTTACATGACTTTGTGTATAATAGAAATCTCTTATCTGATACAGTCAAGACTATGGTTGGTAAATTAATGTGGCTCCAGTGATAAGAGTTCCACATAAGTTTTACGATATAAATCACACTTACGATGTAGCATTTGCAATTTACAATGTGGGTTTCTTTAAAGTGGAGTAAGAACCAGAAGGACTCGTAATCAATACGCAGAATCCTTCTGGTAAAAATGTGCTCTGAACGCCTACTTATTTTGCCTGCCTTTTACCCATCCCTAACCCAATGGTAATTTAAAAAATGCTTTTAACAATTCACCTTTATAAA